TTTCTGGGGAGTACTAAAACTCAGTGCTTTTTAGGAAGATGCTGCACTACTTAAACCATGCCTCTAGCCCCTGAAAATTTCATAATTTAGGCGTAGTCTCCAAACACCTTTACAAAGATATAGGCAAAGAGAAAGTCCAATTATGAGAATTCTGATACACTTATTAATAACATTGATTTTTTAAATCAAGGCTTGGGTATTTAACAGTAAAACATATGATGAGTTATCTAAATAACAAATGTTACCTGTTTTACTCTCTTGGTTACATATTATAACACATTTGGCAATACACAGAAAACGTATGCATTTTCTATCACACGTTGATTCTGGGACAGTTCACATTTAATAGACTCTCAGTACAGGGGAATGCTAGGAATGTGGTCCTATTTTCTCATTGCTTTCTGTACTGATCATTAGCTTACCAGAAATTCTAACTTAAGTAGCAAGCCACCAGTGTTTTCTGAGAAAAATAATGGAGCAAGGCTAAAATGTTAACAGAAGACACTGTTATCTACTTATTGAAGTTTTGCTTCATTAACAGTGTAGATATAATCTTTAGGACAGGTATTTCCTGTCAGTTAATAAGTGACTCACATTCATCAACTTCCCTTGCTGATGACTAAAGCAGCAGGAAATTCCCTCTTTCATCAAGCCTCTTGCCACAGTTCAGGACTGCTCAGGGAACCCAAAGGGAGTGTCAGCGTCATCCTGAATGTCGAGGAGAAGACTTCCACCACAGTTAAAGAGAGTCAGCTATGTTCAGTCTGTGAGCCGTGCTTCTTTGATGAAATCATTCCAAAAAGCGCAGATGACTAAGGCACACACGGTGCATTTAATACATTCTGGTAATCTTAAGACGTAGGAGTGGAATGTCAACGTCAGGGTTTAAGAACTTACAGGGACTGCAGCATCTCATTGAGATGGAGAATCTGGAGAAGTTGAAATCATTCAAACAGAGTGTAGAGGGGAGATGAATGGGTTGGAGGCGGTGAATGGCTGGGTACAGGGACTGGAGAAATGGCAGTCAAAGGGCACAACGTTTAAAAGTTAGGGCAGCTATTATATAACATGTTGCTTCTACTGAAAAGTGATATATTGTAAATGGGAAATCACTGAGAGGAGGCTGGAGCTCAAGCTCAGATATAGAATGTCTGCCTGATATGCTGACAGCCCCCATTTCTATCCCCAGGACCGAAGAAGGAAGGAAAGAGAAGAAGAAAGAAGAAGAAGAGAAAGAAGTAGAGGAAGAGGAGGAGGAAGAAGAGGGACAAGGTAAAGAGAAAAGAAAGAAGAGGAAGAAAAGGAGAAAGATGAGAAGGATGAAAAAGAAGGATGAGTAAGGGAGAGAGGAGAAAGAGGAGGAAGAGCTTGTAAAAATGGGAGGGCAGGGATGGTAGGGGAAAACAAAGGAGGAGGCAACCATGATGTAGATTTCAAAATTTCTCACTACAAATAAATGATTAAGTCTGTGAGGTCATACATGTGTTAATTACTTTGAATTAGCCATTCCAACATGTATTAATATGTCAAAACATCAGGTTGTACAACATAATTGCATATAATTTTGATCATTAAAAATTAAAACTGATCATTACATTAAAAATAAAGAACATAGGAGGACAAGGAGAAAGGAGATGTGTGTTTTCATCTACCAACCCACCTCCCTGCATTTTTTTTCCTAATCTTCGCATTCCTGTCCAGCATAAGTGAAAGAAGATTCTAAATGCCCAACAGGGCTGGATGGACAAGAAAGCCAGTGAGGGAAGGAGATGGTGTGTTAAGACTTCCAAAAGGAACAAACATACTAGCTCTAGCTGTGTGAGCCAAGGAGAAACAGTATGAAGTATGAGTGTAACATTTGCTAGAACAATAAAACGTTTTTCATTTTTATGTGAAATTGAAATTTTTTCACGTTGGAAATAAAATGCATCATTTCACAGTATTGTACAGGAAAAATGCAGGTAAACTTAAACAAATAAATATTACAACCATCACCAAAGTCTAAAGATGTGAGTAGTAGGTTTCCTAACACTGGTCCCAGAACTTTGCAAGGTCTTGTTCAGTGTTGTTCAAAGTGTGGGTGACAGCACATTGGATCCTTATGATTCTTTGGATGAGTGTAAGAGGTTGGCCTATTTTCTCATAAAGGGATCAACAGTAAATATTTGATGGTGGATCATGCTGTGTCTTTCACAATCTACTTGGCCATAGACAAAACATAAATTAGTAGGCACGGCTACGTTCCAATAAAACTTTATTTGCAAAGCAAGTGGCCTCCCATAGGTGGTCCTAGCTTGCTGAGGCCTATTCTCTAGGACTTCTGTAACACCATAGCCCTGGTATTTTATTGGGTTAAAATGTCAACGAAGCATTGCAGGAAAGAGATCTTATTAAGTTTACTTAGAACAAGTACAGTATTCACAGCCCATAAACATATTGTTTCCCATAAAAAGCACTGTTAGAGGTGTTGGCTCATGACATTCATTGTCCTTCTCTCAGGGAGAGTTAGCATGCATACTCCAGGACTAAGTCACATCTTCTAGTCCTGCTTATGCAGATGGAGATTCTAACTCATATTGGTGATGGGAGCATAGCTCTAAAGCCAGCCTTGCCAGGTTTGAATCCTACCTTGTTCACTGATTAATAAAATCGCCATTGTATAAATTATTTAATCTCTCCTTGCCCTAATTCCTCATCTGTAAACTGAGGTCAGGAATTGAAGCCCATGGAAGGAGAGAGATGATGTAGGAATTTTGTTGTGTGTGAGTTTGTTACTAGGATTTGAACTCAGAGCCATGTGCTTGCTACAAAGGCATTCTACTGCTTGAGCCAACTGACATCCCTTTTTTACTTTAGGGTTGTTTTCTTTTGAATTTTTCAGAAAGGGTCTCATCTGGGTCTGAGCCAACTTCAGACCTCGATCTTGTTACCTATGTCTCCCACATAGCTGGGATCATAGGTGAGTGTCACCACAGCAGGCTTGTTCTTTGAGATAGAGTCTGGCGAAATTTTTCTGCTCATGCATAACCTTGAACTGTGACCTTTCTATCTCTACCTCTCATGTAGCTTGGATTACAGGTGTGAGTGACTTGTGACCAGCAATTTGAATATGTAACCAATTATTAACATATCCAGCCAAATTATTGGATGCTATGCTTCTGAAAATATCATCCCATAAAAAGACAAATTCCAGAATGATCTACATTGTGGTTTGGATCAATTGCCAATGATATGATGAAATGAGGCTTCTACGCCAAAAGCGGTTACCTGGAATGTAGGAAGTGAACACACCGCTGTCCTTGCTGTTCTTCATTATGACACACCCAAAGCACACATGAACTCGATTGCCTCACAGAGGGAAGAAAGATTCCTCCGGAGTCCCTAGAACTTCCTCTCTACCTAATCTTAGACTAAGGAAAAAACCTTAGGGATCCCTAATAGAACTTAGAAAGTTCCACAATCTCTTTCTTAAAGAGAATCATGGTGAACCCTCTTTCCAACAATTCTCCCAGAAATGATTCTCAAATTATATCACACATTGCCCTTCTAGCCACCTGCAGAAGCTCTCTGCAACATATTCACACGTGCCTAACCTCCACCTTGGGTTGCAGGGTAGGGGTCTCTCAAGCCAGAAGAGCAGAAACAGGTCTGGGAAACTTGGGAGGTGTTCTCAGGTCTTCAAAATGCCCTATTTTGAGCAAAATACACTTATAGACTTCTGATAAAATTCTCTTATAAGACATAGTCAAATGACTTCGAAGTACTAAGTCCCCTTTTCCTTCCTTTACTGAGAGTTATTTCTGTGACAGAAATGTATATATTATCAACAGCTTAGACTTAGTCACATGGCACTTAAAATTGATAAGGAAACTTGAATTAATTGTGTTTGAACCAGTTCTATGAGAAAATAAAGATTTCTAGAATTAGCTTGCACACACACATATATGCATGCACATGTTATGTGTATGTGTGCATACACACATGTACAGTGTGTGTGTGTATGTGCACGCATGTTCTACCAGTTGAGCAATACTTCCTGCTACATTGAGCATAATTGTGGGAGCTCTTTTTCTGTGCTTTTTGTTATATAAAATTATGTTTCTAAATATTTTGCATTTATATACCTCTAATATTACCACATGTAAATTTCCTTAGTGAGCTACTAGAGAGAGGAATATTGAAACAAACTACCAATCTCTATTTTCAAACACAGAGGTTTGAGAAATTAACAATTCTTTGTGTGTATGCCAGTACTGGGACTCAAACTCACACTCTTACTTTGATTTTTTTTTCTCAAGGCTGGTGCTCTACTACTTGAACCACACTTCTACTTCTGGCTTTTTGTTGGTTAATTGTAGGTAAGAGCTTCATGGACTTTTCTACCTGGGCGAGTCTGGAATTATATGATTCTTACATCTCAATCTTCTGAGTAACTAGGATTACAGTTTTGAGCCACCAGCACCCACATAAATAATTCTCAATTATGAAGAATTTTCCATAAAATTGAAAGTTTGATATTTAATACTTAGATGGTGACTGCTTACTTTAAAACACAATTAAAGTTTAAGTCTTGGATAATAAAGATCTACTTGTTAATGTATCTCTTTTTGTGATTAAAGCCATTATCATATTTATTTTCGTCTTTTGTTTGAAAGCTAGTATTCCAGTTTCTATTTGAGAGACTTGGAAATTTTAGTCACTGTGTTGTTGATCAGCTTCCCTAGAACTTTCTCTCTCAGCTTTAATATCACCCAGAGATAATTTCAGAAAGGTAAGATCAAATCTTCTGAAAAACTTAGCTTATTATCAAATGTATGCAGTGATTGTCTGAGCCAGGAAAGGTTTTAAATTAAAAGAGTATTCCAAAGACAATCTATGCATATATGCATATATGTATGTGTATATATACAAATGTGTATGTAATTTCTTATTGACAAACATCTCTTCCAAACAATGCTAAAAAATATTTTAAAACGTTATTCTTGGAACCATGGACTTACCACAGCTCAGGTTGTTTTCAGCTTTGAGAGCCACGGTTGGGATATTCCAAAACTCATTCTGCCAGTCGATCACGTTCCCTTTCTCATTACAGCTGAGGTTGGAGAGAAGTTTGGGATTCATGGTAAAATTCCAAAGTCTAAAGTTATAAATATCTCCTTTGAGGGAGGCGATTTCATTTCGATTGGAGCCCAACAATAATTTCCCCTTCCCAGGAATGGCTGTGCTAATGGTTGAATCACATGGCACTGTCTCGTAGTTTCTTTTAAAACTGACACCCACAGTGCCCTGAGTATTATTCCAAACAATGCATAGCTGTTCAAAGCTTTCTGTGAATATGCCTCCTTTATCCTTCACAGGTAAAACACTGTTCAGAAAGCATTTTGAGCCTGAAATAGTTAGGAAGTAGTTGTTGTTGACCTTTCCCAAACTCAGCAGTTGCGTGAAGGATGCATCTGAATAGGAGAAGGCAAGCCAGTCACTGTCGTCCTTGCCAACTTTGGTTGCTTCAAAACAGAGTGTGAAGGCACTGAGCTCTGGAATGGAGACGCTTTTTGCAACAGAGATCTGGTAAGCATCAACTGTCTGTGGTAAAATGACCTTTTGATTCCTCAAGGACACCGCAACTGGGACAAAAAAAAGCATGAGAGATAAGGCATGCTAGCTTCAGAATATGGACTCATGCAAAATAAGTTCCATCCCTCAGCCTTCCTCCACTTTCCACTACCTTTGTATTTATCTCTGCCCATCATTTTCTCCTTTCTTTGTCCACCCTCTATCCCCTAACCTTTACCCACAGTCTTAAGCCAACAGCAACAATAAGAAATTCTACTAATTTTGACTAATGTTGATGATGCTTCACACTGAAAGTGATGTCTTAACAGGTAAGTAATGTTTAATCACTGAACAGAAACAGCAAACATTTTAATGCACAACTCCCTACTTAGGAAAGAATTGGTTTCAGGAAGGCTTTGTTATACCTTAAGTTTTATTTTTACAAAACATTATTTTTTCAAGGAAAAAGCAAAGTAAAAATACTGTTCTACTTTTTATCTTCCTTCCTTCCTTCCTTCCTTCCTTCCTTCCTTCCTTCCTTCCTTCCTTTCTTTTATTTTTTTGGGGGGGGGGTCAGTCATGGGGCTTGAACTCTGGGGCTGGGCGCTATCTGTCAGCTCTTCAGTGCAAGGTGAGCACTCTACCACTTGAGCCACAGCACCATTTCCTGTTCTACTTTTTATTAACTATGTGTTTCTCTCCTCCTAAACTTTGCTAGACCAATCTCATCTTTTCAGACATTCCATAGCTTCCTCTCTTGAGTAATGTGAGTTAACTGTTGAAGGACAGTAAAGAACAGCAGCTAAAGGGCAGGCAATGAAGCTTCATATCCCAGCTCTCTGATAACTCTGAACATGTTATTTAGGCTTTCTCTACCTTAGTGTCCTAGTCTATAACATAAAAGAATGGAACTTGTATAGATGGTCAATGAATACTAATTAAGTTAATGTCTCATAGAGCTGTGCTGTGGCCAAAGCGATAGACAGCAAGTGATGATGATAATTATTATATACAATAGAAATTCTAAGTAAAAATTCATTAGTCTCATACTTCCATGATATATGTAAAATGACTGAATAATGTGGTACATATATCTCTATGCTAATGTAACAAACTTTGCAAAACTGATTTTAGAGGGAAGTATCTCTCCTAAAAATATTATTTAATATTGGTTTCATATGAAGAGTAGTTTGAAAATAGTTTAATATACACTAAGAATAGCTCTATGATAAAACATCATTTCAATATTCGTATTCTAGTAAAATATCCAGGTTTGTTTTTTTAAAAAGGCTATTATAGAATTTAAATTATAGAATTTAAATAATCATGATGTTTTGTCAACTTTTAAATATAAAGCAGTTTACAGATCTACTTATGCACTACAAATCAAGTGTTTAAATGCATTAAAATAAAAAGACTGGAAGGAGATATGTCTGTCAAGAGCAGATATGGATGGACGGAAGATATATAGGCCATTTTAATTTGCTTTTTAAAATTTCCAAATGGACTGCTTTATAGTTTTAAACATTTTGAAAAATCAATTTGATTTAGTCATGAATGCACCTAACGTTAATCACAAATGGTAAAAAAAAAACTCCTCAGACAAAATGCTCAATAGATAATAAGAAGAAAGAACAAGTTTCATAGTTCTGCCATCATCTAATGAACAAGCTCAAAAAAAAGGAAACAAAAATGTATAACTAAACATTATAGTCTTCAAGCTTGAGTTTTCCTAAGTAAAACCTAGTTTTCAGAGGTAATGAGATTACTTTCAGGTGATGAGTTAAAATCTTGGAGACATATTTATTAATACTTTTTCCATGTCCTTCAATTACCCAATGTAAAGGGTTTTTCTTGGGCTCACGTGTACCCTGAGTTATTAATAGCTCCTTTTAAATTTACCCACTTACTTTCCATATTTGTCCTGCTGGAATGGTTCTGTAAAAGGACTACATCCTAAATGCCCTAAATAAAATAATTTCTAAAAGAGGGATGGTTTAAACTTCCAGTGAAATGTCAGATTACACTTTTTAGTTGTTAGCATGGAATAGCTACCCTGTCTTTCAAGCAGCCCATAAACAGTATGGAAGAATTCCATTGTACTGAAACCAGATTTTGGACCTGGTAATGATAGTTTGCTACTAAGAATGCTCTGAGCATCTTAACAGATTCTTGCCCTTAAATCCGAATCTCAATCACTGACATTCACATAAAAGAGTACAATGCTGCCTTCTGGTCTTGGTGTTTATTGGAGTTCATGTTAAATGAAAGCAGAAGGTTGGCACTGTCTTTGGTTTACATACCTCGGATGTAGCTGGCACTAAAACCTTTCTTCTGGATGCTAAAGTCACTGGAAAAGGACACATGCATCTCATTCGCACTCGAGTTAAATGATAGGCCTTTGGCAGTTGCTCCGCAGAATTTAGTCTCTCTCTCTCCATTATCAAGGGATAATGAGTCATAAATGCAACCGGGAGCTTCTTCAATATCGAAGTCATTAAATGTTATCTGAATAATGTAGCCGGTGGGAGCTCGGAGGGTCCACATACAAGCTTGGATGTTAGGGTAGTCACTGGGGTAGCATGGAGACGTGAAGGTTCCAGAAGGGTTGGAGAGCACAAGCCTGCAGCTAGAACATCCCCATACTGTTGGCCAGACAAAAGAGAGACAGAGAGACAGGGCTGGGATCAGATGCATATCATTAGCCAAGCACGCCACATACTGGGAGGAACCAGTTAACCTAGCTTCTTTTTTTTTTTTCCGTTTAACTTTTTTTTGGTTAAGGTGATGTACAGAGGGGTTACAGTTACATACGTAAGGAAGTGAGTACATTTCTTATTGAACTTGTTAGCCCCTCTCTCATTTTCTCCCATTTTCCCTCCCCCCCCACTCCTCCCCTCCCCCAGCAAGTTGTACAGTTCATTTCCAACGTATTGTCTTGTGAATATTGCTGTTGCTTTGGTTCCCTCTTTGTCTTACTATTGTGTTGTTCCCCTTCCCTTCCCTAATTCAAATAAATGTATATACCATACCCAGGGCACCAAAATCAAATACAGGGACAACAGGGAATAAACCATAGGGGGAAAAAACACAAAAGGGAAAAGAAACTACATAGTCCATTGAAAACAACACTAAGAGAGAAAACCCTTTTGTGTCCATGTCTTGGAGTTCATTTTGCCTAGCCTCATCTTATACAGTCATATGTGCAGAGATATTGAGCGATTCTGCTCATCTGCTAAGACTAGAAACCATTAGATAAACCATGGGATCTATGTTTTCTTGCATCTGATTTACTTCACTTAATATAATTTTTTTCCAAATCGCTCATGAAAATCAAGAGGAAAATGAAACCATTGTAAGGAAGAAAAGAAATTCCAAGTGCCAACACAAAGTGAAAGAAAATCCAAAATTTTAGAGAGTAAAGCTTGGGGAAGGCAGGATGGATAGACTGAGAATCCAGTCAAAGTTGTGGAATCCCTCTCCAGCAAAAGGAGAAGGGGCCTCTCGTGGTGTAAAATAGAAAGCTCGAGCTATCATTGGATTTCATAAGGGTTCCTTGCAACTGTGTTAGAAATTTGTGCTTTAGAGAGTAACTGGAGTGGAGGGAATTACAAATTTGTAGAGTATAAAATTACAATGACAACTATAAAGAAAGAGAAATTAACCAGGTACCAGTGGCTCATGCCTGTAATCCTACCTATTGAGAAGGCTGAGTTCTGAGGATCATAGTTCAAAGCCAGCCCAAGACAGAAAAGTCCATGTGACTCTTATCTGCAATAAAGTAGTCGGAGTAAGCCAGAAGTGGCACTGTGGCTCACGTGGTAGAGCACTAGCCTTAAGCACAAAGAGTGTCAGTGACAGTGCCCAAGACCAGAAGAAAGAGAGAGAGAGACAGACAGACAGACAGACAGACAGACAGAGACAGAGAGAGATGGAGAGACAGAGAGAGAGGGGGGAGGGAGAGAGAAAGGTAGGGAGAGAGAGAGAGAGAGAGAGAGAGAAACTACTTAGGAAATAAGTTGATTAGAAAGCTAAGTCTCCCCTACCTCCACCAAATTAAGGTTTTATTCTAGAAGTTCGTATTATTGTTTTCTCAAATTCAAATACCTCCTGTCACCTTGCATGTGTAGAATATTTATAGCTTTGAGGGTACTTTTCGCTATGTTATGTGCTTAGCATAGTTGATTAATTATATACTTGAGTGATCATCTCATTTACTCATTCATTCAATAAATCTTTATTGAGTATTGTTATGTGTTTTTCTAAATAGCATATACAAATCAGCAGGAAAGGATCCTGAATGAAGGAAGGATTACAGGCATGAGCCACTGAGCAAAGCACAAAACTAACAAAAGATGCTTAAATTTCGTTTTGGGGTCTAAAGAGAATCAACAAAAAGGCAGGAAGAAAAAAAATACTGTGTGACATAAATGAGATGTTGAGTAGTTCAGTGACATATGAGCAGAAATCCAGCTGAAGCGATGGAATGTGAAATTACTATGGTCCAAGGGAACAGCAAAAATCAAGATATACTGATTGAACCTTGTTCTAGGACAGAACTGTAAGTGTCATTGGGCACATTTCCTTTTCTCATCAATATATACTCAGCATACAGGGAAAGCTCAGACTAAATACTTTTGAATGAATGTACAAAGTTTTAAAAATAGATGGGTAAAATGATATTATTATATTTCACTAGTAGGGAAATGTAGGCTCTTTTTATTCTTACCCCCAGTCTGGAAACCAGTTAGAGCAAAAAACCAAGGTCTACAATCTTTCCATGGAGAAATGTTTCTGCAATTAATACATACATTCATCTTTCTGTGCCTGTTTTACCATGGTTAATGACACTACCTGGGAGAATTGTTACGGGTTAATATTGGAATGTTCTGAGTTATATGTAACATATAGTGTCAACATTTCAGTGTTGGCTAGTTGCAGAAGTTGCTATAAAAAACATCCATGCATTAATAATTTAATGTAAAATATCAGGCCATTCCCAAAGAATCTTTTGATTTCTTCTTTTTCTGGGGTTGGTAGTGATAATTGGGGTTGAACTCAGGGATTCACGCTCTAGAAAGCATTCTACCCTTTGGACCGTGCCTCTAATCCTTCAGCTTTTTGTTTATCACATAGGGTCTTATGCTTTTGCCCAGCCCAACCTTAAAGTGTGACCCTCTTACCTCTACATTCATGTAGCTGGGATTACAGGCAGACACAACTACAAAACCAACTTTTTTTTTCAATTCAACATGCCAATTTCTGTGAACAATGCATCTTGATCAGGGCCACCTCTTCCAATATTCTTCTACCCTCTCTGTCTCTCTCAACTCTACTCTGAAGTTTCCTAGTCTATTTTTCACATATATACATTGAATATTATGACTGTGTTTGTCCACATTTCTCTCTTCATTTGTCTGTCTCCCCTCTCCAACTTGTTTTTGAGATAGGTTCTTAATAACATTTTGCCTGGGCTGGGCTCAAACCATAGTCATCCTATCTATAGTTCCTGAGTAGCTGAGGCTACAGAGATGTGCTACCAAGTAGAATCGATTTATGCCTTAAGCATTGACTGGAATAGAAAAGAGATATATAAGATATTCTAAGTGCACAAAAATATTTCAAACATTTTTATATGATTATCACCTTCAATGGCTAGACAGCATTCAGAGATATGGTGCTTTAAAACATTACTAATCTTAATTGGATAAAATGCCAGTTAAACCAGATACATTATTATCATGTTGAATGTAACTGAGAATCATGTCAAAACAAAAGATTTCATGTCTTATCTCATTTGCTATCATAACAACTCTAAGAATTATTGCCAACTTCATTATTTGAAGAAATAAAGAACACTAATATAGATTATATAACTTGCTCAGAGTTATACAACTAACATCTTTGAAGAAAATGTTATCTTATAATTAAGCAAAAAATACAAAATAAAGTGATGAGACAATATTTTTTTCAATAGAAAAGTTCCAAGCTGGGCGCTGATGGCTTATGCCTATAATCCTAGCTACTCAGGAGGCTGAGAGCTGAGGATCACAGTTCAAAGCCAGCCGGGGCAGCAAAGTCCCTGAGACACTTATCTCCAATAAACCACCAGAAAACCGGAAATGGAGCTGTGGCTCACTTGGTAAATGCTAGCCTTGAGCTGAAAAGCTAAGGGACAGAGCCCAAGCCCAGAGTTCAAGCCCCATGTTCAATTAAAAAAAAAAGGAAAGAAAAGAAAAGTTCCAAAACTAAGGAGGAGGAGGAAAAAGGAGAAGGAGGAGGAGGAAGGAGGAGGAGGAAGAGGAGGAGGAGGAGGAGGAAAAGAAAACAAGTAATTAGTTCTCTCTTAGAGACGATGTACACTGAAGTAGACACTGAGTAAGATTTTTTTTTAAAACCAAGGTTTATATTTCTTCTAAATATCTAAACAATTAAATGCATCTGGCTCATGGCATTCTTTAAGACAGATGTAGTAATATGTTCTCAACTCTATAAAAGCAAAGTTTTCAGGTAATCTAAACAGACAACAAACCAAAATCCACTCTTTATCTTGCCTGGGTTTATCAAATCTAGCAGTGTCTTTTGTCTATCTTCTTAAAAGTTTATTCTTCAATGAAACTCAGATCTACCATAGGCTCTTGTTATGCCAGAGCCTTTCAAACTCATATTTGGAATTCTTACTCCATGATTTCTCTATAAAATATAAAACCCACACTCTGTCAAATCTCTCTGAAACTGGAATTTCAGATCCCAAGAGTAAAGGCAGAGATTACCTTTGCTACTGTCTTGAAAATTGTTTTATACGGTGTTAAATGGTGAACAAAATGACTATATTTACATTAAAACTTTTTTTTTAAATTTCAGTATCCATAGAACTACAGCTATAACAAGTTTGCTGGAAAAGTTTGCTAGTCAGGATTATCTCCAGAAAATTTAGCTTGCCTGTACAGTTTGCATCTACTCAAAGGTATTGTCCAAATTAGCCATGTGGATTTTTTGTCATCTTAAATATTCAAAATGTTTAGTAGCATTGATGGTTTTCCACAGATTAAACTAAGGTCCAAAAAAGGAGTTTCTGAAATTAGTTCTATTCATTAAATAGCCAGGATTGTCACATACCATTTCTCCAAATCAAGTCAACTCTGGTAGATCTAACATCATGAAAATGTAAGTATCATGTTAGATGCTGCCATGCATTGCGCAGCTGATAATATACAGAAGTAAATGAGTTCGTCGAAGTATTCCAGTGACTTCAGATCCCTATGCAGAGGTTCAGGATGGCAAGGAATCTGAAAGCAATTTGGCTGTGACTTCTATGATTCTGTTAATGTGGAAGAATTGGCAAGCCTCCTGCCAGCCCTCCTCAAGCTTGGCTTTCACAGGTAGTACTTGAGGGGGAGGAGGGGGAGGAGGGGGAGGAGATATGCTTACAAGTTGTTCCAATTTCCTAGTGGAACTTTCAGTAGCCACCTAAGAATGTCAGTTCATGGTTCATGCCTGCACCCCTAAAACACTAACTTCCCCAGAATTCACCTGGTTATTGTTTGATTTCCTGCTGTGAATATTCTAATCTTCTATGAAAGCATCAGGCAAGGGCAACTCTTGCAAGGACAAAAATCATCCATTTTAAAGGGTCCCATTGACA